TGTCACACCTGAACGCTCACATCCTTTTAATAATGTTTGAAATTATGAACATTGCTCAACATCATGAAAATTAAACCTTATTTTCAATAAGCAATCCTGAAAATATTTGGGGGTGCTTAACTTTTTCCTAGGTATATATATATATATACATAAAACGGAGGTAATATGGGTTTCATACAGATTTAACGTATGTGCAATAAGAATTTAATATCGATGTAATGTATGTACAAGAATAATTTCCTAATGATTTGATACGAGCGTATTATATGTAAGCACAAAACTACACAATGGGTTATCTATGCTCTGTCAACCGCGAGTGTCGAAACTCGTTTTAAACGTTATAAACCTCACATTTACCGCTGATCCTTCGGAGGCATTTCATAAGACTTTAATACGTGCGTAGTGTATGTAGGTGATAATTTAATAAATATAATACGGGTGTAATTTTTGTAGAATAACAATTTAATAAGAACTTAATACGAGTATGATCTGTGTATAATAAAATTTCAATAATGATTTTACTAGGATATTTTTTTTATTATTCCTGTAAACTCCCAGTGGAGCATAGAGCCGCAACAACATCTCGCCAAAGGAAGGTGTTGTTGTTGTAGTTACTTGTAGCAGGTTGGTTTTTACCTTTCTCATCCTGGACTTGGGACCAGGTAAAGGCGGAGGATGGCATGTTTGGTGTGACGGGGATTCGAACCCGCGACCCTCAGATTACGAGTCGAGCGCCCTAACCACCTGGCCATGCCGGGCCCTATTAGGATATAATCTGAAATATTTAATACGGGTGTAATATTTGTGTAATAACAATTTAATAAAGATCTAATACGAATGTAATGCATATATAATAACAACTTAATAAAGATCTAATACGAATGTAATTTATGTATAATAACAATTTACTAAAGATCTAACACGGGTGTAATATTTGTGTAATAACAATTTAATAAAGATCTAATACGAATGTAATGCATATATAATAACAACTTAATAAAGATCTAATATGAATGTAATTTATGTATAGTAACAATTTACTAAAGATCTAATACGGGTGTAATATTTGTGTAATAACAATTTAATAAAGATCTAATACGAATGTAATGCATGTATAATAACAATTTACTAAAGATCTAATACGAATGTAATGCATATATAATAACAACTTAATAAAGATCTAATACGAATGTAATGCATGTATAATAACAATGGGGAACTTGTTCTCCCGCGGTGGCCACTAGAGGCGCTACGAGTCCCGGGCCAACAAACCTTCGCGCGCCAGTCGCTGCTGTTGTTGTTTGTAAGGATTACCCGCTCTATTAATTTTACA